ATATGTGATTCGGCCCTTCTTCACATAGACCAGTTAAACCGCGGGATGTGCATCCAACTGATCAGGGTTCGAGCACCTCTCCAATTGGACTGCCAAAATGTTTAGTGAGCCAACCCATATTGCACCTTACCTTTCAAGACACTCCTACCCTACAGGATAAATTCTGCCTTTCAATACGTGTCTTTCCTTTCAAGAGCCCCAAGAATCGAACTCACGATCTCTGATTTGCCAACTTTGAGAAAACTCGTCCTTTGCCAGTGAAGAAATGCCTCGAGGAGCAATTAAACATCTTTTATTTTTATAAATTTGGTCAAAGGCCAATTGAAAAAAATGTATATTAAAGTGGCGTTGNAAACTACACGCATATCATTTCAATTAAAATAAAACGATACTTATATCGTTTTTGCTAAAAATAATGATTCGACCGTCCACGACCACCGACCATGCATCTGACATATGTAGGATGATCAAAATATGTAATCAAGTGGGTTCGATCTTCCTTAAAAGAAACTATGATAACATTTTTGTTCTCATTATTGTATACCATCTTCAAACTATTCCGACAGAAAGTATTTTCGTTTGCTCTTTTCAAGTCATTCGAGTGGCATCAACCCACTTGATGACCTCTTTCGATCGTCCTACGTATCCTAAAGGTATGATGGGTGGTTGTGGACGTCCGAATCGTTATTTTTATCCAGAACGATATAATTATCGTTTTATATGAAAAGAAACGATATTTACGTCGTTATACTTGTGATTTGAATTGGAACGATTTCAAACTCGTCAAATTTCTACTAAAATGATATGAATGTCGTTACTTTATTTGTGATTTTGATACATAATGATATCAATATCGTTTCAATACAGTTTTGACGACGTTGACATCGTTTTAATTTAAATCATAAATAAAACTACACGCATATCGTTTCAGTTAAAATAAAACGATACTTATATCGTTTTTGCTTAAAATAATGATTCGACTGTCCACAACCACCGAATATGCATCTGACATATGTAGGATGATCAAAATAGGTAATCAAGTGGGTTCAATCTCGCTTAAAAGAAACTATGAAAACATTTTTTTCCTCATGATTATATACCATCTTTAAACTATTCCGATAGAAAGTATTTTCGTTTGCACTTTCCAAGTCATTCGAGTGGTATCAACCCACTTGATGATCTCTTTCGATCGTCTTACGTATTTTAAAGGTATGATGGGTGGTTGTGGACGGTCGAATTGTTATTTTTATCCAGAACAATATAATTATCGTTTTATATGAAAAGAAACGATATCTACGTCATTATACTTGTGATTTGAATTGGAGCGATTTCAAACTTATCAAATTTGTACTAAAACGATATGAATGTCGTTACTTTATTTGTGATTTTGGTACATAACGATATCAATATCGTTTCAATACAGTTTTGACGACGTTGATATCGTTTTAGTTTAAATCATAACTAAAACTACATGTATATTGTTTCAGTTAAAATAAAACGATACTTATATCGTTTTTGCTAACAATAATGATTCGACCGTCCAGGACCACCATACATGCATCTGACATATGTAGGATAATCAAAATAGAAAATTAAGTGGGTTCGATCTCTCTCAAAAGAAACTATGAGAACATTTTTGTTCTCATGATTGTATACCACCTTCGAACTATTCTGACAAAAGTATTTTCGTTTGCTCTTTCTAAGTCATTCGAGTGGTATCAACCCACTTGATAACATCTTTCGATCGTCCTACGTACGTTGAAGGCATGACGGATGGTTGTGGACGGTCGAATCGTTATTTTAGTTAGAACGATATAATTATCGTTTTATATGAAAAGAAACGATATCTACGCCGTTATACTTGTGAATTGAATTGGAACGATTTCAAACTCGTCAAATTTGTACTAAAACGATATGAATGTCGTTACTTTATTTGTGATTTTGACACTTAACGATATCATTATCGTTTCAATACAAGTTTGACGATGTTGATATCATTTTAACTTAAATCATAACTAAAACGACATACATATCGTTTCAGTTAAAATAAAACGACAATTATATTGTTTATGCTAAAAATAACGATTCGACCGTCCATGACCACCAGTCGTGCATCTGGTATATGTAAGATGATAAAAATAGATAATCAAGTGGGTTCAATTTCCCTCAAAAGAAAATATGAGAACATTTTTGTTCTAATGATTGTATACCACCTTCGAACTATTCAAACAAAAAGTATTTTTGTTCACTCTTTTTAAGTCATTCGAGCTCTATCAATCCACTTAATGATATTTTTCGATCGCTCTACGTATGCTGAAGGCATAACAGGTGATTGTAAACGGTCGAATCTTTATGTTTAGTTAGAACGATATAAATATTGTTTTATATGAAAATAAATGATATCTATGTCATTATCATTGTGATTTGAATTGGAATGA